ATCACCCATACCCGCGAGGCCCATCTCTTGGCAAACAATTTCTTCAGCGCAACTTGTCGTCTCTCGGTGTCTAGCCATAGATTGCGATTACCGAATCCTAAATCTTCTTCTCCTAGGTAGACCAGAACTTGCGAAGCGCCTGAGTATATCCTCGCCATAATGGAGACCTGCTGGTTTCGCTCTTGCATGTTGCTTTGATCAATAGCGAGTGCATCGACCCACAGCATCCTTTCTTGTGAGGTAGATCTTAGCCTGCGCAACGCAGACGCGCAGCTTAGTGTCACTGGCAAAATCGACGTTTGTTCCTCTCCAATGTAAGCGCAATGAATCCGTTGTGATAAGCTAGCGTCTCCATCTTCGGACGCCCACGTGTAGGAAAGGGCCTCGTATTCGATGTCATCATCCAGGTTCGTGTGGAGGAGATCGCATCGGATAGGATCGTGAAATTCGCCGGGGTAGAGACACAAGAGGCGAATATCCTCACCCTCGGAGGGGTCCAGCGGCCGGTATCGGAAGCTGTGGAAAATTTGGGGTTGGTTGAAATGCGTGGGTTGATCGAGTGGCATCGCGACGCGCTCTTCGGAAAGCGCGTGCGAGTTCTTGGTATGACTGAAGAGAAATTCAGTCCATGCGTACGCGTATGTCGATCCTGCAGATCGGGTTGGCAATATGCCGAGTTGTGGTAATGGAGCGCATCGCGACAGGTTTTGCCGAGGCCGGGCAGATAAACCTCGGTGCACAGGATATATGTATATCGTGGGATCTAAAAATACACAGGGTTTGCGAGGAGAGAACAGTGGATAACTTGCGGCATGACGCCGAGTGTGCGTGCGGTGCTTTAGGAGGTTGCTGTGGACGCGTGGCTGTGGCTGCTCGGCTGTGGCTGGGCTGTTGATGACGCAAGCCTCATGCCTTCGACGCAGTCGGACTAATGTGCAAGCACAATACCAACAAACGCCAATAAAGTCATCTACTTCTTGGTCCTGCTGTCAGAAAAGCCATTTGAGTAAGAGTGCTAATGGCTCGGCTTTGCCAAAACCTACCATAGTGAGCTGCTGTCTCGCAATCTGAACCAAAAAAGCAACTGCACAACGTTTCAAGTAGCGCGATAATGTTGGCACATATGTATGCATTGTGCAAATATATACAGAATAGGTAGATGTAAAGGTGTAGAGAGAAAAGGTATAGACATGAAGGCGTCCAAACGGACGAGCAAGCAGCCGACACTGAGCCTGGCATGTGCCCACACTTCCGAAAAGTGCTTATACAACAGGCCATCCACTGGACCAGTTGATCTTGTTGATACCGAACTTCTTCTGGCCATCGCCGTAACCAATGCGGGTGTCGACGTAGTGGTAGTATAGTACAGGGCCCTCCTTAGGATCGTAGTAGACACCCTGACCACCGGGTCCGTAGACAAAGCCGTGGGACTCCAAGACAGTGGTACCGCCACCCTTGGTGCAGTCGACACCGTTCTTGTCCTTGAAGCCACCAGTGGCGCTGGTAGACCTGCAGACTTGGATCTTATACTCCTGGCCCGCGGCAGGCCTGTTGGCATCGAAGCCGCAGCACTTGCCGACGGAGAAGAATAGGTAGTGGTAGTTGCCGTTCAGAGCAATGAACGGAGCTTCCTGGGCGTGCTCTCCCTCGGGCTTGAAGGCGATGTTGGTCACAGTGGAAGAGCTGGTCTTGACGGGTGGGTTGGCCATGTTCTGGACGAAGAGGTCGTTCCAGAAGGAGCCGAAGGCCATGACGAACTTGGATCCATCCCAGTATAGCGCACCATCAATGGCGTTGTAGTTCTTTCCCGCGCTCGACTGAATGCCAGTGGCACCAAGGTCGGTCCAGGTGTTCATGTCCTTGCTAGTAGCAACACCAATGGCGGAGTTCTGGACTCCGAAAGACGATACAGTGTAGTACAGGTAGTATGTGTCGCCGACAAGGGTCACGTCAGGAGCCTGAGTTCGTTAGCTCGTCTTCGAATAAGCGTATACATGACAGAACGTACCCAGAGATCGTCCTTGCCAGCCAAGTTGATCTTGGAACCAGCGGGGATCGCGGCACCCTTGTAGGACCACGGACCGGTGATCGAAGGCGCGGTGTGAATAGCAATCTTACCACCCGTAGAGAAACGGTAGTAAGTGCCATCGGCGCGACGGATAAGGGCCGGGTCGTGAGCGTTGTTGCAGATACCGGAACAGGCCATGGGGTCAGCATAGCCGTAGACGGCGGTAGCAGCCGAGAGCAACGACGCGACGATAGAGTAACGCATCCTGGCGATTGGTAGCGAATGGAAGAGGAAACAAGAGACGATAGATGAATGAAACAAACAGACAGTGCCTGGTCATCATCCTATATATTACCGGTGGTACTTTTAGACCTCTCGAAGAATCCCAATGCGGACCATCCCGAAACCTTTGGCATGGACTAGACGTGGAGAGGTGAGATTGCCAGTCCGGCGCTGACCTGCATTCTGAATGGTGGAAACGACATTCTCGGTATGTGCATGAAGAAGCCGGTACGGAGAATTGGTCAAAAAGTGTCTAGGCCTGCATGTCCAGGCAATCTAATGTGAGGGGTGCAGATGGTGTTTCACGTTTTGCAGGTCTGCCGCGATGCGTGACTGGTGGATCGTACGAGAAAGCGCTCCACGTGTAGAGGCTCAAGGGAGGGGCCTGCACTGTGTCGGATAGCGACCGGCTAGAAATTAGTTAGGTGTTGACACGCGCCACATCCATACCTAATCCGCCCACACGTGTGGCTATCCGCACGTTACGGCACGGGCAGAGTGAAACATGCCGGGTCCAAGGGCTGGGTTTGTGGCGCGCCATAATATCGAGCAGTTCCAGAACTGATCTCCTCGCTCCAAAAGCCTCAAAAGGTTCAACAAGACGTCAGGGGCTGAATGGAACGACCTGTGGACGTTGTGCAAGGTGCAGGTGGTAAGCGCATCATGTTCGTGGTGGTGAAATGTTCCGAGGCTTCTTTCCTAGCCGCCGCTAGCTCCTTATGGCCATCTGTCTCCTGCTTCTTTAGGCTACCACCCTCCGCAAAGATCTTCGTCGCGCATGCATCCATCGCAAAGCCAAAGGCGTCCATCGAACTCTATCGCAATGGCGAGTGTACAGCATCCGTTTGTTGATTCTCTGTGGTCGTGCGGGCCGACATGGATCTACCGAATCTGGAAGATCTCACCGCTCACCGCCGAAACAGAACTAGTGGGAGTCTATGGATGTCAGACGGGGATACTAAGTCCATAGCTCTTACTTGCCTCCATCAACCCTTGACTTTGTTGCTATCCGATTACTATTACAAGTTCAACACCGTAGACCGAGAGTGTCATCTCAACACTATACTTGGAGCGCGGAAAGGGCTCGGCAGATGAGGCTTGCAAGCACGGGCGAGGGAACAGCAACGGCAACCAACGTAGTAGTCTTTTCTCATCATTGCGGTATGACAGATTTGATGCGGAAAATATTGCTACGAACGAATGACTGATTACATATATCCAATCTAACTCTTGCAAACGAGTAAAATGATGCTGACGTTGACTCGAGAGATCTTACCACAACTCTGACCGCCTCGCTCCAGGTCGACCCCAGATCGCGCCATGAATACACCCTAAGGAATGAAGACGTCGAAGGCAGACACTGGCGCGCCGCTTTGACTTACACCGCCTCCAGGGATGTACACCTTCCCTTCCACGCCGACAGCATACGTGCCATGCCTAGGAAGCTTCATCTTCCCAGCCTTCGCCCATCGATCCCGCACGGTATCATAGACCTCGACTTGATCAAAGACTCCGGTCTCCGATAGCGTGTTGCCCTCACCGCCGAAGACGTAGATGTCCTTCCCGATAACGCCAGCCGCAACACCACCCCTAGCCGTAGGCATGCGCGCCGAGCTAGTCTTCCAACCGGCTTCCAGATCACAAAGATCGAGGATGAAGACCGTGTCGCGAAGATTTTCTTGTCCGCTGTCCCGTCCACCGAGGACGTACATCTTTGAGCCTACAACTGCGGCTCCAGCGTGGTCTCGGGCTTCTGGGATATACTTCGCAGCCTCTGGAACGGCAAGCCACGTTCTGATCCCGGTATCGAAGATGGAAACAACGGAAACACTCCGCTGACTGCCATGTTCGACGAGCTCAAGCTCCGACATGCCGGCCGCGAGATAGATCTTGGACTGGTAAGTGCCTACGGCCGCACTACCTCTTTCTTCGCCGGTGGGTAGGCCTGGAATCGATTCCCATACATCTGTGAGAGGGTCGTACATCCATGAGTCTGGTACTGCGCCCCATACCCTTTTTGTCTCGCTGTCCGTCTCTGCCAGGCCACCTAGAACGTATATCTTCCCGTCCACAACGGCTGCGTTGGCGTGGTTGAGACCTCGTGGCATGCTCGCTTTCGTGGTCCAGGTGTTGTTCGTGATTGAGTAGAATTGCATCAGAGAAGTAGTGTCTATGGGTGGGAAGGATGTATTGGATGGGATTATACCGCCAAGAATTGCGATAGTAGATGGTGGGAGGAATACTGTGGAGTGTTCCTGACGAGAGAAAAGAGGGATAGGGGCGAGTGATTCCCATACGGGCGAGAGACCCTTGGAAGGCATGGATGATGCAAAAGTAACAAGCCAGGCTATTGCTAATAACATAGGGCTGAAGATGGATAGATTCATGGTCGTTGTGTAGGGTTTTGGATGGTTGTTGTGGTAAGTGGGTAATGCAGTATGTTGCAGCTAAGAGGTGAGATGCTTGAGTGTTTATATATTCTTGACATCGCTATAGTTGAGGGAAGACTTACATGGCTGTGTTAACGGTGAAGGAGATGTTGAATATTGTCCTGACAAAGCCGACTGGAAGCCCGCATCTCCGAGTGACGAAATCGGACATGGGCGAAATTTGAAGATGAGCCGGCTGCGCATTACGCCCAGCCGTACCAAGCCTTGGAGAAGAGCGCTTGCAGCGGAACTTGCGAACACTCATTCATCCACCGATGTACTTACGCCTCAGCGCTTTGTCGGAATATCTCCTCCGAATGCTCCTTCCAGATCGTAAAATGTGTCTTGCCCTCGAGCGTCCGCAGTCTTCCGCCCCCCAATCTCTCATCGATCCACTGCGCAACCTTCAACGGCGCCTGCGCATCTTGATCACCATGTACTAGCCAAACCCGTTCGCTGTCTACGTCCTTCAGATCAAAGCCCCATTCTCTCGTAAGCGCAGCACCATCCTGCATGCATCCGCCAGCGCCTTGCTTGAAAGCCTCAAGTAATGATGCGACAACGTCATCAAGATTGGTCTCTCCGCTGTTGTCGCTAAATTGCTCTTTCTCTTCTGGAGTCTTGACTTGGTCTTCGAGGACACGCTTGAGGCGAGACGGGTCTCTAGTGAGGTAGGGACGAATGAGGATGTGAGGTAGGAAGACACGGAGGGCCCCTTGTCGTAGCAGCCATGGAGTTATACCCATGAGCCGCCATGATAGATAGGGCACAGTGTCTAGAAGTGCCTCGATTGGTCCAATACCGCACACTACAGTCGTCGCCCGAAGTCGTTTTTGGGGAATGAAGCGTGCGCAGGCCAACGCGTATGGTCCGCCTCCGCTAGCACCGAGCACGCTAAAGCGCTCAATGTTGAGATGGTCTGCGAGGCTCACAACATCTGCAGGCCAGTCAACGAGACTGCGGTCCGCGAGCGTCGAATCTCCACAGCCTGGACGATCCATGGCGACGAGACGCGCGCCGATGTCCCTGCAGAGCTTGTCCCAGCTTCTTCCGACCAAACGACAGCCTGGCAGGCCATGAAAAAGGAAGATGACAGGGTGCGACGAGTTCGTAGATCCATAGGTTGCGAAGCCAAGAGAGCGCCCGTCAGAGAGGCTGAGCACTTGGCATTCGTTGGGTCGGAGTTCCAGTTTGGCCGGATCTGGGGGCGATGAAGGGGCGCGATCTCCGAAGAGTGTAAACATCCTGTCAATGTAAAGTTTGTTGTTCTTGAGGTAACTTAGCGCGCAGTGATGAGATGATGAAAGCAGAAGGTGCGAAGCTCGTGGCCCATATAGCTTTCAACGACGTAAAGTTTCCGGCATCTTGCTGACATGGCGAGATACAGACTTCATAATACACACGGTGAACGGAACGCCGTTGTATGGTGCGCCGATGAAGATGGCTGGCTGTCTCATGGTCTCACATCGCGCGTGGTCTCCTGAGTAAGCATCAACAACTGTTGCCTACTGCACGTGAGACAAAGAAGCCGTCCGCGGCAGTCGCGCCAGTAACTAAACAGTCAGGCAATGCTCCCTGAGATATTTCCTTGACATTGCGAGATCGATAACGGTGGTGGTAGTGATCCATGAGTGTGGGTTGACGATGACGCGCGGAGCCGCTAGCTCAGGGTCGGAGGATCGGCACTTCAGCCTATCTTTAGCATGTGCATCACCACGGGGCTCCTTCTTTCATCCCACCTGGTCGCATTCGCTGTGTCTATTGCATATCGTCTGTCTTTTTTGTTTCCTGTATTTTCAATACATTCTTGTCCCATTCAATTGCTCTTTTGCATCCTCGGATGCTGGCCCTGTGTTCCGCGGCGCAGCAGTCGCGTTTCTTCCATTTTAGTTTGAGATACCCTCAATAGACATTATGAGCCCCATTATCCGACGCATTGCTGTGCTATTTGTATTCGCTACCTTTGTCATCCTTGCATTTCGCCAACTCAGCGCCCGAAACGGACTCCCTCTGCCGACGTTCACCTCGTCGACCCGAATCGATCACGCCGTACAATGGAAGAGCATACCGGTGCGAAACCCGGTATCATCGCTAGCTCCTCTCCCCACTGGCGCCCCGGTCGTCATCCCGAGAATCCAACATGAATTTGGCATTGAGACGGAACACACCAAGGCGGAGAGATTGCATAGACAAGCTGCTGTAAAGAAGGCATTCTTACACAGTTGGGGAGGATACAAGACCCACGCGTGGCTACAGGATGAAGTCACTCCGGTAACAGGAGGCTTCAAGAACGGCTTCGGACAGCGAGGAGCAACTCTAGTTGACACACTGGATACCTTGATCATTCTAGGGTTAGAAGAGGAATTTGAGGAGGCTGTACATGCCATCAAGAAGATTGACTTCACCACTGCAGGTGTCGCCCGTCTGAACGTCTTCGAGACTACGATCCGCTACCTGGGGGGTCTTCTAAGCGCATACGATCTGAGCAAGGCGAAGCACCATGCACTACTACACAAGGCGACCGAGTTGGGGGATATGCTCTACGCCGCCTTTGACACGCCGAACAGGATGCCCATCACTCGATGGGACTGGGAGAAGTACGATTGCGCCACGCCACCGACCCACACAGACTAACAGAAACCAGTGCTGCATTAAATGGTCACCAAGAGGCTGATACGCAAGCGCTCAGCGCCGAGATAGGATCGCTGTCACTCGAATTCACCCGCCTGTCGCAGCTTACCGGCGATGCGAAGTATTACGACGCGATAGCGAGGATTACCGACGTGCTCGAAAAGCATCAGAACCGGACGAAGATACCAGGGCTATTCCCAATACTGGTCAGTCCAGGGAGGGAGGAATACAACGTTGACGGATCATTCACAATGGGTGGAATGACTGATTCGCTGTACGAATACTTGCCGAAGCAGCACTTGCTCCTCGGGGGTCTGACAGACCAATACCGGAAGCTATACGAGCGCGCCATCGAGCCAGCGAAAGAGCATTTGTTCTTCCGGCCCAGGATACCCCAGGGTGACAACATCCTCGTCTCTGGCGATGCGCGAATCAGCACCTCAGGCACTGTCAAGCTCGAACCCAACGGCCAGCACCTCGCTTGCTTTACGGGTGGCATGGTTGCTTTGGGCGCAAAGATCTTCAATCGGACGGATGAGCTAGACGTCGCTCGCAAGTTAGTGGACGGGTGCACTTGGGCTTACGATACCATGCCTACGGGTATCATGCCAGAAACATTCCGGATGATGCCGTGCTTTGGGGAGGACGACTGCGCGTGGGATGTGGAAAAATGGCATGCCTCTGTCAGGTACTCCTACTCCAACAACATCCATGCGGAGCATTACGACGTTCAAGACGTCATCAAGGAAGTGGGACTGCAGCCTGGTTTCTCCAAGATTGGGGACCCGCGATTTTTGTTACGGCAAGTATACGCATCACTTTAGCATGCGTAGCTAACATCAGTCACAGCCCGGAAGCCATCGAGTCAGTCTTCGTCCTCTATCGTATCACCGGCGACACCACCCTCCAAGACACTGCCTGGCGCATGTTCGAGTCCATCAACAACGCCACTCATGCAGAATTCGCCCATTCTGCCATCGCCGACGTCACGATACCACAAGGACAAGAGACACTCAAGTTGGATGAATGTGAAAGCTTTTGGATGGCGGAAACTCTAAAGTATTTCTATTTGATCTTCAGCGAGCCAAGCCTTGTCAGCTTAGATGAATATGTATTGTGAGTATGGCCCTTGTGATGTTGAAGATGATGCTAACGATTCTGTAGCAATACCGAAGCACATCCACTGCGCCGGCCGCATTAGAAAGATGGCATCACCTATCTCGAGCTTATATATAAATCTACTATGAAACAAAATTTACACCATTCGTGTACTACCATAATGGATTTCACGGAAGTATATTACCGAAAATGGAATGGTAGGGGCGGGTCACGCCCTCGTTCCCATTAACCCGACATCTGCACATGGGACAGATCATGTTCGTCTCCAAGCTATCGATCAGACACTGTCTTCCAAAGACATGCCCACATGGAGTTCTAACAGGGTCGTTATCCGGCCGGTTCTCGCAGAAGGGCAGATTATAGCTCGCGTGTAAGCGCTCTGTGATTTCTCGCTCTTCATCGTCGAGGTAAGTAGCAATTGATGGACCCTCCTCGTCTGTGGTGCTGCCGAATGGAAGCCAGCACAGCGGACATTTCATATCCTCCGGTTCGATACTAGTAATATCGACTTCGTCCAGTGTCTCGACGAAAGCCGTGGCGACTTCCACGCGTGTTGTTCGAGTTTGATGGCGAACAGGTCCAAACATTGCTTCAGAGTTTGCCATTTCCCAGTGCAAAGCGTCTTGGATCTGTTCTTGTTCCCATTGCTCCTCGGTCTGTTGGTCGGCGAATAAGTCGGATAAGGCAAGTTGAACTGGTTGATGTAGATAGTGATGTAGGTGTTGATGGTGATGGTGATGGTGGTGATGGTGGTGAACTTGCGCAAAAGAACTCGTTAAAGTCGGTAAAGGGTGGGAAGACGTCGTCGCAGGGACAACGAGAGCTTGATGCGAATTCAGATTACCTAGAGTCGGGAGATTCGCGCCCGTGGCGTTCGCGAAGCCGTAGACGAAGAATGGTGCATTTCCGAACAACGCTGCAAGGGGTTCGTTTATCACGCCGCCTAGGCCGGGTAAAACGTGCCCTTGTCCATCTGGATGAGCTCCGTTTGACGTGGACTCTGGTGAGCCGTATGGGACGAGTGTCATGCTCTGGTCAAGCTCGCTCTCTAGCGATTCCAGGGATGGCTCTTCTTCTCCGTTGGATGTCGTTGGCGCTGGGCTAGCATCTGCCGTAGTCGGAGGCATGTCTCCGGTGAGGTCGTCTTGTGTGCTCGAAACAACGGCACCAGACTCATTAGCGGAAAAAGATGGCTGTGGTGAGGTTGATGACATTCTGATATTTTGGTTGGGAGTGAGAGGTGCTGAACGCTGTATCGAGGTGTTTCTGAAGGTATATATAGAGCCCGCAGAGGAAGGCAGAAGTGAAGGTGATTTTGGAGCACTGTGGCTCAAGGGCGAAGCCCTTACTGTGATCTTCACCAGTGAATGCGCTCTTGGCCTGCGGCCTACTCGACCTTGAATAATTGCTCTCCTGAACGGTTATCCCTACCAGAACTGCGCGCGGCAATCAGTCCACAACCAAATTGAAAAATAACGATGGGAAACACATTCACTACGCAACAAGAGTCGGTAGTTCCTACTACTACTCCCTCTAGCAAGCCCGACCCTCTCGCTGCTGTGGAAGCTCCCATCTTGTCTTTTACTGTTGAGGACTTCGTATTCGCCTACCTCCAAGGCGTGCGTACCAAATGTATGTTCCACAATACCGGGCGTCCGTTTTTAGAGGATGCTATCTACCATCCACCCTCGATTGGTACTACGGCCGAAGACATGTACGATGAGATGATCGAGGTCGGCATCAGTCCACTAGGATGGTGTCAAGCCAACCTTCCGGAATTGATGTTAAAAGACAGCTTCATCACCCGCGTCGCCCCCATCGAAGACGAAGAACCCAACCTCAATTACAAAGGCATGAGCTTCTCGCATTGGTCATTCCTAGAGATATTGAATGAAGCGGACATAGAGCTCCGTTCAGCTATCCCTAGCGCGCATCCTACCGTCGGCAGACCAATTCCTGATCGGTTCGCGCTGCCGCAAGCCTGGTGTGTAGGCATGTACAAACTAGCGGCCATGCTGGATGAGATGCACAATGCGGGTATAACACCCTATCAGTACGTAGCGCACACGTCCATGCTACTTGACTACTCGTCTACCTCTCCATTTATGGTTTGTATGGAGATGGATACTTCTCTTAGGCTACCCGAGTTACACATCGCCTTTCGGAATCGCTGGATCGTTCAGTATATGATGGACTGCCTTGGTCTTATCTGGAATCATGTGGATGACCCGGCGAAGCACCCATTATGCCATGTCTTCGTACGCATACCAGTATTATCCGAGCCGATATGGTTTGCGCACATACGACCGATGCTTGCGCAGTCCAAACGCGACTTCGTTCGCTCGCTTCCGGTGATTGACGTCGATTCAATTGCAAAAGAGGATATGCGATGCCCTCACTGTTGGTGCAACTTTGACGAAGAGGATGAGGATGGGAAAAGAGACAGTCCGGTACACGCTCCATGTCCATTTGGCCATGTGTACGGTAAGTCTTGCTTACTGGAGCTCATGCTTCACATGGAACAGGAAATGCTGTGCCCGCTTTGTCGCAAGGAGTGGCGTATATGAGATATTCAGCTTGGGTGGCTGTAGGACATTATTCCAGTACAAGTTAGCAAGCAAAATGTTCTTTTCACTGCTATATCTTTCGATAGTGAGAAGAAATCCTGCATTCGACTACATGCTTGAAGGATGCCGAGACTTTCCTAATAGGTCTTAGCGTGGGCCATGCACCTCCCGAGGTCCACCCCTGGGACCAGTGACTGACTTCCTATAGGAGTAATTATTTTGTCCGTCCCTCTCTTTACCTGCCTCTGCAGATTTGTATTGATTGCTGGTGGAGGCCTTGAAGGATTGCGGGGTTTCGTACGCCCGGCGGCAACATAAAGCCCAAATGTACAATGACGTCGTAAGCCAGGACCAATAGCCAACGCTTCTCCTTAATGCTTGCAGATGCTGTTGGCTTACTACTCTTGGTTCGCAGCGTGTGTAAGATTTTAGCAGAGCTGTTGTACCGATCTGAAAGCCTGTTGTCTGTAATCCGAATGGACGCCTGGAACAGGAGCGACTCGTTCGTCATCTTCCGGTCAAGGACTGCGAATCTCACGCTTCATATGGCGGCCTGAGAGGCTATAAAGCTCTGGATCCATATCTTTCCTATGGAAGTTACTTCTGATTAGTATAGACTCAGGAACAGCTTCATAGAGTCATGACTAAGTTAATTGCCGTTATTGGGGTCACCGGAAATCAGGTATGCGCCAATATATCGACAACCACTCCAGCTGAACACGACACTAACTAAGCATAGGGTGGGTCAGTTGCTCGCGCGTTCCTGAACGAGCCCGAGTGGAAAGTTCGCGGCATCACTCGCGACACTTCCAAAGCGTCCGCCACGGAGTTGTCATCTCAAGGCGTTGAAGTCGTAGCAGGCAACCTCGATGACCTAGAGTCGCTGAAGAATGGGTTCAAGGGTGCAAATGTCATCTTCGGCAACACTGACTTCTGGGGTCACCTGAACGATCCTGCGACACATAAGCTTGCAGCCGAACAGGAACGTACAGCAAACGAAGTGGCATATGACCGAGAAGTTGCTCAAGCCAAGGCTATCATCGATGCAGCAGCGGCTCATGCCGGCACTCTGGACCGTCTCGTGTTGTCCACGCTTTCTGAAGCTAGGAAATGGAGCAACGGTACCATCAAGTGGAACTTGCACTTCGATGCAAAGGCTGAAACCGAGAATTACCTGAAAGAGACATACCCGGAGCTTTCCGCCAAGACGAGCTTGCTGCACTTGGGCTCCTATGCAAGTAACTGGAGACCAGAGAAGCAGGAAGACGGCTCCTTTGTTCTTAGTCTACCCATGAGTGGAGACAGGAAGATCCCCATGGTCGATCCGGTTGCAGACACTGGTCGGTTTCATTGGTCTTCGACGTAGCCACCTGCTGATAACCCCAGGGCGTTTCACGAAGGCACTCGTTGAGTTGCCACCAGGAACACTTCTGAGCGGCGCTGGATCGTTCATATCGCTTGGTGAATGGTGCGACATCTTCGGGAAGGTGAACAAAGTGAAATGCGTCTTCAAGCAGATACCTCGAGAGGCCATTGAAGAAGCGATGGGACCCGTATACGGTCCCGAAATTGCCGACATGTACGAGTATTTCGACAAGTTTGGCTTCGAAGGGGGCATTCCTGATGTCGTGTTTCCGTGGGACCTGGGCATCGACGTGAAGTACACGTCCATGGAAGAGTACTTGAAGGGCGAGAACTGCAGCATCGTTTTGTGAGTTCGCGCATCCACCAGCGATAATTACAGCACCTAACGGAGTGCTTGGTCGTGGAGGAACAATGGGCCTGTGTCGCAACGTGAGGCCGGGCGATAACGCTTGGGATTGTTATCTCGTGGGGCCCATGGCTCGTGCACCTAGCGCAGAATGCCAAATCTCCAGTCGTTACCTACAACCTTCCCACACCCATTGACACTTTCACCCACGCTAAGATCTAGCAGCCGGGGTATCTGGCTTTTACAGCGGCTGCTCATTCGTCCGGGATGTATGCCATCTTCGATCCTTCCACGTCATGTCCTCGATACCAACTCTTGATGTTTTGCGTGGAGACCTCAGAGCTCTACGAGTGCATGGCGGCGTAATGCATCACGGACTCTAAGAATTGAGTCAATTCTATATTATCATGACAGTAGGGTCCAAGACTTCGACCGCTCTTGTCAAAGCCAATCCATGGACTGAACAAGAGTCACGCGCATTGCATGACTACCCACCGAACTAATCCGACGTCAACCCCAAGATAGTCCATCGAATCGAATTGCATCCTGGCATCACGCCATCAAAGCACTAGGACAGCCGTACCCGAGAGAAAGGCAAGCCATGGGACTTCTTCACCACAAGCGGTATCAGCGTGTCCGGGGTATCGATAGCGACTGCATTACCGACAGCGGGGAAATTCTAGAGCCGCCCCGAGATGCGCCGTACCCAACGCTTGAACTGGCAATAAGGCGGACGATAAACCACTGGACGAGAGCCATGTCTACCCTTACGCCCTACGCCAAGATGCTTGGGGTTCCAATACTATACAAGGTTAGGGTCGTTGGGTTACACAGCGGGCGATCTACGGTGATAGGCCCCACCACAATCATAGTAGTGATATGCGTACAGCCATCCCAACCTAGGAGTTACAGCCCATACTTCTGATGAGAGACATCATCGTGCTGTTCGCTTGCGTCCAATCGTGGCGCGGTCATTACCTGTTTAGGGTAGTCTTACAGGTCGCTTCGCACATCTATGCAGCAGTCATCCCGCCCCGCATCGTAACGATAAGACAATCAGACCTCATTTCCGATTGTAGAATGTCTCGGGTGAAGCCTCGCTCTTGTCAACTACCACAATATTTCCGAAGCTAAGCTATCGCTGCCGTCGTTGACTCGGCGTTCATCGTCATTCATCTCCACCGACACACACTGCTTGCATTGAGAAGAAGGCAGAGCGCCAGATCAATCGCTGGCCATTCTGTATCTTTATCCTGTCAATTATCTCACGGTCATTGAATATGGCTACCAACCTTTCATTGCTGTTGGGAGCAGCTTTTCTGCTCAGTTCGGTCTTCCTGCTGATCAAGCGGGGAAGGCGCAACATCATCATACAACGGCTTCGTAGCGGCGGACGAAGGGTATCAGGCGCAAAGACTCCTCCAAGGTCTTTTTCTCCAGAGAAGAGGGCAGCGTCCATTTCCCCGATTGATCACGCCAGCACTTTCCCACCATCACGACGAGGCGCCTTGGTTGACGCGAAGACAGAAAAGATCGAAGACCTGTCGCCAGACTGGCAGAAGAATGTCTTACCGATGGAAGCATCATATCTGGATGCTGATGACTCTACGTATCTCCCATGTGGCTTTTCTGTAAAGGAGATCAGAGCCCTCGGTGATTTCCCAGACTACGCTACACTCAGCGGCGTACCTCTACCGGACCCGTACCCAGAATTCGACATCAAAAAGGCACTGCCTCGGCCATATAGACCGTTTCGCTGGTCTTACCATCAAACCATGTGTGAGTAGTATTGATAGCTGCACCCAGTCCCATACTGATCATGGATAGCAATCACCAAGCTGCAACCTGACTGGTGGATCGAGCTCGAGAACACATACGAAGAGCGAATTAGGCAACGGCAATCTCTATTCGCAAAGCACGGCGAAGCAGTCCTCCAAGCTCTACCAGGCTCGGAGCTTGCTTGCAAAGAACTCATGGAGATGGTACTGCAATTCGTGTGCGCCAGGTACCCACATTGCTTCCACTTGTCGGCGAACAACAAGACATTTCACAATGGCATATTGAATACAGACACCGATCTCACCACCACGCCACCCTTGCACGTTCTCCTGAACAACATCCCCGAAGACTTCGCCATCATGCTACGAAACGAGAAGACAGGACTCTACGTATTTCGAGCAGGCATCATATGCAGTGCGCTAGGTTGGAACGTAGGCTCGAAGATCGGTCTCGAACTTGCCGATATACACAAACCCATTCCAGACTACAAGGAAAAGATGCAGTTCTCCATGGACAGGTACGTCACCTCCCCACTCCCCACTGTCTCATGCTAACCCCAATACCACAGATACTTCGCCAAAAAGCCGACAGACAAACCCATCCAACGCGGCTCCTGGGGCCTAGAAATCGACACACCCCTCTACATGCCCCCCGGTGACCCCCACGAGGCCGTCCGCAAGCAACAACTTCCCGCCTCTGAACTCCCTGTATCCCGCATCCACCTCCGCGTAGACTGGCAGACGTTGCGCAGACTCCCACTGTCAGGTGCCGTCGTGTTCAACTTCAAAGCGCTGTTTACCCCGATCGAGGAGTTTAGAGAGGAGAAATGTGTGCCAGGGTTATTGCTCAAGGTGCTGAATGAGGGCAAGAAGGAGTTGATGGAGTATAAGGGAACGTGGCATGTTGAGCATGTTGTCAAGCCGAAGTTGGAGGAGTGGCACAGAGAACAGGTTGAGAAGGGGTTGGTGAGTGAGGACTGGGAACCCCAGACTCTAGATGAGAGTCCTTGGTTCGAGGGTTGGGAGGGGAAGTGGAGGGAGAGGCAGGGATTTTGAGGTGATGACAGGTTGGATCAATAAGGCAATTCCATATCGCGCATGTTACTCTGATATTATTTGTATATAGCAAATACATTTCAGATCGCGCTCTCAGGTCCGCAGCCCAAGTCTCTTAGGCAGCTTACCCCGATAGACCCACGCTGCACCCGCAGCAACCGCACTCAACGTCCCGAGTACCAATGTAGTGTTGCTCACCAGCGTCTCTTCGCGCACCCTACCAATCTTCGTCTCCTGCTTCCCCGTCCCGAAAACAACTTTACTCGCACTAACACCGCCAGTAGCAGTTGCACTCGCCTCCTTCTCTCCCTCATCAGTAGTAGCCGTCGTCTCGAAATCCTCCCAATCAATCTTGGAAAGCTGCTCCTGGTACTCGACGACCGTCCCGGACCAGTTGTTGGTAATCCGCCCCTCCTTATTCTTATACCACGACATACAGTTCGGGTCGGCGAAACTGCTGTTCTTCAAAATCTGCTGAATACCTTCATTCCACTCATGTGTCCTGTCTTCTTTGGGCATGATCCCCATTCTTTGACCGCGGTTTCGCGCATCGAGGACGGCGGAAACGAGGGTGTTGAGGTAGCGAGACTGTGCTTCGATCATCAAGATGATGGAGTTGTGACCTAGGTTTGTGTTGGGGCCGTAGAAAAGACCGAAGTTGGGGAGAGAGGGAATGGTAGTGCCATAGAGGGCTGTAGCACCGGAAGACCAGATGTCTGCCAAGGGGCGCGAATTAGCTCCGGTTACTTTGATGGGGTGGAGGAATTCGACTGTACGGAAGCCGGTTGCGAGGACGATGGTGTCGTGCTCGTGGTGGGTGCCGTCTTCCAGTTCAATGCCGGTTTCTGTGATGCGACGGATTTTGTTTGTTTCAAGCGTTGTCTTGGGATTGGCTACGGCGGGGTAGTAGTCGTCAGATATGATGACCCGTTTGCAACCTGGGCTGTAGTTTGGTGTGAGTTTCTCCCACAGTGAAGGCTGGTCGGGGATTTGTGTCTTCATCATCTCCATGCAACTGCTCCGAATCACTTCTGCGAACTCGCTCTTGCTATCCGTGACGGCGTCGTGGAAGGACTCCCGGAAATCCATCATAGAACTGCGTATGCGCCATCGAACTGGAGGTAGGTAGCGCAGTACGGCACGTTTGAGAGCGCTGACGGGGCCGTCGAGACGCGGGATGACCCAGTTCGGGGATCGTTGGTAGATGGTCAGCGAAGAGGTTTGCGGTAAGATCTCTGGGATGATCTGAGCAGCCGTAGCACCTGTGTCTTTGTCAGTGTTCATTTTTCCAAATAATTGCTATTGCGCGTACCGTTGCCGATGATGCCCACACTCCTGCCTTCAAGTCTGTGACTCCAGTCCCAGCGCGCTGAATGCATGATCTTGCCCTTGAAGTTCTCTAAACCCTCGATATCGGGGTATTGTGGCTGGTTGAGCTGACCGACAGCTGAGACCAGAAAGTCGCACTCAATGCTGTAGGCGGGGTTGAACTCTGCATCTTTGCCGCCAGTCACGTTCACGTCGACCTTCCAGCGGTTGTTCGAGTCGTCCCACGTTGCGGCTTCGACAGATGTGTTGAAACGAATGTATTTGTACAGGTTGTACTTGCGGGCTACGTTGCGGAGATAATCCTGCAGCAAACGTTAGTGTTTGTAATATGAGGTAAATATGAGAGAAAGACGTACAAGTATCTCCTCTTGTCCGGGATACTCTCTGGTCCAATCTGGATTTTGCTCGAAGGAATAACTGTATAGCATACTCCAGACATCGCAACAGCACCCGGGGTACTTGTTGTCATGCCATGTGCCGCCGACACTAGAGCTCTTCTCCACGATGATGAAGTTGTGACATTGGTTTCGCTTGATGAGGTCAATCGCCATACACATTCCTCGATGATGTTAGCATGATGGAAGTTAGATCGTCATTGAAGTACTTACCAGAGATACCCGCTCCGATAATAACAACTGCAGCATCAGTGTGGTCCTTGTTTCCGACCGGAACCTGTGGCCATGGCTGCGATCCTCCCATCTCGCTGGAGGTGACTTCTCTCAAGGGTCTGTGCTAGAAGGGAGTGTTTAATGGCAGAAACGGATTGGATGTAGAAACATTTGAGAAGGGCGAGCGGACGAGTGGAGCCACGAGATAAAGCCTACCCCAAGAACCCGCCGCAGGGGCTTCTTGCCGACGATCATATGGCATGGTGTAGTACCATCATTGCCATCCAGCGAATGATCGCGTCGATAGCTACCGGGTCCGAAGTAGTTCGCGTCCCCTCCCCCTCAGTGACCACATACCCGAGCATCCTGTCCCGAGGTAGTACAATATCGGCCTGATTCACGCGTGCAGTCGTCACACTGCCCAGGGTGAGTGTGAATTCATGATACCATTACGGCCGTATAGCTTGATGCTTCTGTAAGCCTCGTTCAGCCCATGAGGGAGCATTACGGGCGTAACGCAGGGCGGGGATGAGTGGCGGTTGACAAGGATGGTACGACTGAGTGTGGGGAAAGGGCTAGCCGGCAGCTCTAACGCTTTTGGGACAGCAGCCACGCCACTGTCGAGTCGACCAGATCGACTCATTTGATTTAACGTTCAAAGCTAAGTGATGGGAGTGCAAGCCTGGCGAGTCGCGTTGGCTATTACTTTTGGATTGTTTGCCTTGACTAATTTACCACATTATTGTCACCCAGACCGCCGCCACCTTGTCTAAGAGATGTAGCGTGGCGTGGACAAAAAAAAAGGGACTTAGATTTGGTATAAGAACTAATTGGTGTATGAATTGCTCAGTCTATTCGCTTCTTTCCTCCGTAGGTTCCTGCGACCGCGATCTCCTTCTGCCGCGCCAGACGCTCGATGATCGCGTCTGGCCTGCATCTCTCTCTCTGACGCCCCTTCTACAAGACTCTTTCGTGAGGAAAGCTCTCTGCCACGTGCTTCATCATCCGACTCGAACTGGTGGGTCTGCACCACGCCCCATCGTACGTTCTTTTCTCGCTGCTTCCCTTTGTCCCCTCTTGAGTGCGGGCCGACAGAGCTCTCTGGTGACCTAGAAACTGCGCGCATTCGAGCCCATGCCTCGCTCATTTCTGTCTTGGAGACATGTAGTCTCGGGTCTCTGGGCTTAGTCTCGGTTAGGCAAGCATGATCAGCTTGGGGAATGCGCCGTCTCTGTGTATTTGGTCGACAGGAGGGCTTGTCGAGCGCCGTCGCTTGCCTGTCTTTCGAAAGGTCATATCCTGCGCCAGGGGTGTCTTCGCTTTTTGTACCGTTCTGAGGTTGTGCTTCGCGCTCCTGTCTTGATTTGGCGGAAGGTGTTCGACTGTGTTCGGTGCTTGCAGCCAAGTATCGACTTTGCTTGACTTTCTCGCTGTATTGAAGGTGCCGCGGATCGTCGTGTAGAATGTGCTTGAGTGCAAGGTACAGGAGGACAGAGTACTGAACGACGGTGGCTCCCGTACTCGTTGGGTTTCTTGGAGTTTTCGAGTTTGATGCTCCCGATGTGTGCAAATTAGAGCTCTTCATTTCTGATGGCGTGTAAAGCCCATGGACATCAATCCATCAGTGCGATGCATTATTGATTCATTGCAGTCGTGTGAGTATGCGCTGTTGACGCCATAGCTTTTGGTGACTCTGACTTCGTCAGTTGACGTGGAAGCTATAACCATCGCCAAAAGCCAACAGTCCAAGCTCGAAAGCTTGCTACAGTGAGATCACTGTTGAGATGAGTGTTACAAGTTGAGGCGTTGCCGGGACCTCCGTGAACCTTTTACAAGATTCCAAGGTTGTAATGTGTGCGATTGATGTCAACGGGAGGGGCCGCTCACTAAGGCATAGGGGCTGCGCGAGATGAATTTGGTCAGCGACTACGTATGCCGGTCAATCATGCTCTGGAGGCGTCGCAATGCCGGACTTCCAAAGTTTCGCGGCGGCTCTTTGTTTCGAACAGTCTCGATCGCTTGGATACCAGCAAGGCAAGCATGCACTCAGCAGTAATAACTTTCAACACCACTGGGATCGCCGCGCAATTTCGTCGAATCGAAAGTTTTACACCAAGACTCAGGCAATGTTGACGCGAATCGTGATTGTGTGCGTGATGAAAAGCGTGCAGCAGTAGTCGCATGCTTAGACGTCTCGCACCAGGCATCAAATGAGCCTTGCTGAAGAAATTCGTGTCCGCGCAGTGCTTACCCACTGGTAGTGAGGCCGTTGCATGGTGCCGGCCTAGGGTATTGAAGGCTCATGTACCCACCCGATGCAGTGGTTAAGTGTTGACTTATTTTGATCTCGCACCATGGTCGCACGATGCCGTCCCTAGCGACAATAACAGGTGGACCTGCGATCTGCGATCTGCGCGCCTAGCGAGTGACAAGGCCGCGAGGGTTTGTGAGAGTTGAGCGAATCTTGTGGTAGCTTGGGCGGCGAGTATTGGTAGTTTTAGCCGACGCACTTCATAGAGGGGACCCGCACACAAACCAGACGGCTGAGCAACTTGGAGCTTGGTTGAGCGTGGATGATAACGGAGCACTGAAACGCAAAACGAAATGCTTGGATGACGCATGCCATGACGATGAGGGGGCTCACGCAGAAGGAATGGAGGGATGAAGCGACCGTTTAGAGGCCTGTCCTGAAGCCAGTGCGCTACGGCAACACAGCAATAGCCCGTCGGGTTATTCCCAGGATATTCTCACGGAAGTTTCCAGCCAGGGTCGGCAGACAGAAGTTTCTTCTCGCCGGCGGAAGCTTCTCTCTCCCCTGCTATTAAAGGTTGGACAGTATTGCAGCGGTGGACATGGCAGCAGTGGTGGGTGAATGGCGAATGTTTTACGATGTGAAACTCGCCCCCGCATGTCCAACCGTCGTTCGCTGGGCCAGGAAAATGTCAGCAAAGGACGCAGCGCGATTGGCGTGCTGAGTGCAGGCCAGGGCGCAAAAGGAGCATCTTCGTGTTTAATGGAGTGCGGTCGTGTGTATGGAGATCTGGAATGCGGTCGCCGGATCGAGCTCATGTCCGCGGCCCTTCTTGGCTGCTATTCGTGGGGCCGCAGCGCCGCTAAGTTTCGATAGTCTGGTTCTGCTGGGAAGGGGCACACGATCGCTCCTTCCGCCGATGTCCAGGGCTGGCTGGAGGGACTGCGAGGGCAGGTCATGGCGGGCTGTGGCTGTTGGGCGTCTTCAGGAGGCGCGTGCGGGTGGGCGACAGAGGGTTTGATTGACGAGTGGCAGATTTGGCCGCTGTCGAGGCTTCAGGCGCCCACTCGGCTGATTGGCTGCTTTATCATTCTACGAGGCATCGAGACTCCAGGCTGGTGGTCGGCTGCGTCCTGTCTAATGCTAGCTGCCACTCTGAAACTCCAACACCTCCTGGTCGGGCCGGCGCACACCACGACGCGCAGTATACCTATCGTCCTGTCCCGTACTTCCTGGGAGTTCTTCCCTCCTGGCCCCGCTGCACTGCACTATTCGATGCAGGCCAACCCACGGCGCATCACCACGATTCTTCCGTCATATCCTCCCAGGTCCCCCATGCTTGCAGTAGTCGCCAGTAGCTTTGCCTAGCCATTCCTAGCCGACCATACTCTACCGGCTTCCCGCGCGCGCACCCATTTCCTCGTCGCGCACTTGCAGCACATATACACGTTCTGCAGCCGCACTCTACTCGAAATACTGCCTTCGGCCTAATATAGCATACTCTAATCAATCATGAAGCAACGCAAGTTTTCCTTCAATCTGGCGCCAGTCGTACGTTCCATCCCCAGTCCTTTGTCTGCAGTCGCATCCCAACAGTAACTCACCGCCAATGTAGAAGATTGCCTCCAAGCCAGACCTCTCCGACAAGCCCGCGCCGGACCCGACTCCCTCTTCGTCACACAAGAGACATACCTCCAAAGACAGCATATGCGACCAATCGCCCTACATCAACCGCCGCGTCCTCGACGAACATACCGATCTGGAACTGCGCCTAGCATGTCGCGAAATCCTGCAGAACTTCAAGCCGTCCGACCATGGCATGGAGAACACCGACCCCAAGCTCGACTTTGGTGGCCTCGGCCGACGGAAGGAGACTAAACCACAGGCCACTGAGGTCGCTGTCCGCATGCCCACTGGCGCGCCTCCAGAGCTGGCAGCGACCTCGACGTCATTCATGATGCGTAAACCCAGCACCAAGACGCGATCACGCACGAAGGCGGACCAGGAGATTAGAGCAAGGACCTACGGAGACATGCCTGCACGCGCGAATAGCAGTCGCAAGCGAGCTGACTTCGGATGGCTTGACGAACGGGACGCAGAGAGGGAGGAGAAGCTGAGGTCATACGGCAAGACTTCTATGGACGTACCGCGATCGAACGTCTTCCACAATGACTCGGACGAAGACGTGACCCTTCCCGTAGCAGTCACATCTACACTCGCCAACGCCAAGATGTCGTCGTCAGTGCCCACCTCAGCATCTTTACCCTACAGCAGGAGCATGAACCGCCTATCCCACCAATCTGATAACCCAGCAGCAGTTGCAGACGCACAAGCCGCAGAATGGATGCGTCGAGAGCTGGAGAAGAAGCGGCAGCAAGAAGCATCAGAGGGCCACCGTGGCCGCTCATCGACTTCAGTCCGACCACCCAGTCGTGCTGCCAGTGTCAAGGAAAGCGTTAAAGAATACATCTTCCCAGGCTCTCGCAGTCGGGCTCTGAGCCGTGCGCAGTCCAAAGAGTCTCTTCGTCCAGCAGCCGACAACGACGACCAGGGTCTCTCACGCAGTGGCTCGAATTCAGGATGGCGTAGCTGGGGCATACCCCGCCGCTTGAGTTCAAGAAGCAACAGCAGACCAGGAACCTCGAAAGGAAAACCGGAGGAAGCTCAGCCCAGGAAGTCAGAGTCCAACGGCCTCAACTTGAACAGAGAGCTACCCCCACTACCAGGTCTGGACACATGGAAGGACCACCAAGAATCTCCTCAGGAGGAAATAACAGTATCGATGAAATCTCCCACATCGCCGACCGCCGCAACACACATTGCAAGCATGATGCGCTCGCAAGAACAGCACCAGGAGCGTTCTCCCGCCGCGAAGAAACACAGGAAGAGCGGATCTGATACGTTGGCCATGCAATTCAACGATTCGTTCCCTGCCCGGAAATCGTCTCGCAAACAGGAGACCAAGGCCATCCCACAGCCCACAAGGACCAATCCAGGTAGCCCAACACACCCCGGAAACACGATGACTGGCTGGTCCTCTACTAGTAATCTAGACCAGCGCCTCGAAGTAGGCTCCAGCAACCACACTCGCCAACGAAGTGGAGATAGCAACTCTGCCAGCAACCAGAGTGCCGAGGCGTCCACCTTCTCTCGTAAGATGAGTTTGGATACCACGGCCCGGAAGACCCTCTCCAACGAGCCCAAGACCCCAGGCCGGGAAGAGCAAAAGTCCAAACTGAAGAAGATCTTCAGCGGATGGATGCACAAGAAGGACAAGAAAGAGGATTGGATGCACAAGATGGAGAAGGAGGGTGTCAGGGAAGGTGTTATGGTGCAGGACGGCAGCACGAGCGCGTCACCCGTGGTGCGCTACTGATCTCCCTTCTCCGCCGTCAGGGTCTCAGTCAGGGTCGTACCTTCCGTTTTGGATGGGTCATATGCCCAATTGGGATATTTGTATACAAGTAATGACGCTCACGCGTAATGTGCAACGACGCAACGCCACTTTTCATTTCTTCTCGGGGTTTTCTTAGGGAGTTGTATATGCGGCTGCGCCGTCATCAGTATGATGCATTTTCTTTTCTTCTTGCATAATGGTATAGGATTGTGGTAATAGAATGAGATTTCTGGTGTTTTTTCACAGTCAGTACATGATTCCGATGCTTGCAGTGTCAGAATTGCATGACGTCCGCGCTCCATATTAGGCATGAAAAGAGGCCAAGTTGTCGGTTGGCGCTATACACGTGACTGCGCAATGATGTGTCGCGTCAGACTGGGTGCTCCTTCCATGACTACAATCTGGACACCTACCCGCGTTCAACAACTAAGCAAGCGTCTATCTCCAGCCTCATGTGCGCACTACATCCTACTGGCCGTCAACATGGGTATGGAAGCCGGCGTCACTTCGCGACAGCGACTGACTGCATGTCAGCAACGCCCTCAGCTTTACCTGAAGGTCCCCGCTTTTCCACATCAATTCGAGGTACACGTAGGTGAGGTGTCTGAGTGGTAGCTATGGCAACACTATACGACTGACCGCCTGCCTCATAGCAACATCACACGACTGTAGACGCAGACCGACTAGCGATTGAGTACACAACGAGCTTTCCTGTGGAGGTTCCGACGGTACCTACTCTCGATTCCGAATGCACCTACCACGATCAAGTGGCCACTGCAAACTACTTGCTTCGGGATCGGCGGCGCATCACATACACCGTCTCTGTGCAGCACCCGTTGAACTCGACGACATATTACGACCGACTCTGTGAGAGCTATGCCTCCAACATGATCGTGCAAGGAAGCTAACACCGAGCTGTGCAAGTTCTATTTTTCCCGCCGAGACGTCTATATCATTATGCCGTTCTGAACGATACATCCACAAGGATCTCCAACTCGACTCGTTCGTACACGAAGTCAGGACTCCATCTTTAGTCACAATACTTGCCGACCATGTGCAACGTCATTCACTTCTTCTTCAAATGCCAGCACCTACTACGTCTACGAAGGTCGCGCTGCAAGGGTACGAAACACAAGATGACGAGAACCAGCATTCGAGCTGCTTGTACTGCCGAATCCTTCCTCACTATATATTTTCAGACCGACTGCAGTCCGTGCGAGCACAAATTGTGGGAGAGCGAGTGGGAGTCAAAGCTAGGGCGGGCGAGAGCATTCTTAATCAAATTAATCGAGAAGCGGATGTATGGAGTGGAGGACATCACTACTCTAGTCAAGGAGCTTGAAGAGCAGTACTATGTAGCTTCGTGGGATGCACGTAACATGCAGATACCCTCACACGCTTTTAAGAAAAGCGTGGCGCGGGTAAGCATTACATATCATCAGACGGCTCGCTCGCCCCTGGCCCAGGAAGTGCGACCAGAAGACGTTGTCGATCCTAAGAAGCATTTGAAAGACTGGACGGAAATGGATGAGAATGACTATGATGGCGACTACATTGCGAGCACCGACCCAATCCATCCAGTCAATACCGATTACTCACATCCTCTCGACGATGATGACGGAAGCTGGATACTCAATCACTTCTCGCCAGAAGAAATGGAATCTGCGGCCGGAGATCTAGACTTCGACCAGAACGGATGGAGTTGGGACAACAACGATAACGTCAACGACAGCGACAATGAGAAGGGCGGAGCGCCTATGATTGCTGGATCTCAAGAAGAGAACACTACGTCACAGATCGGCGACAACGATCTCATCGCATGGGGGCCGGAAGCCTCGGCATCCTCCAAGCTTTCGAAAATCAGCATGGATGGTCTCAGTATGGAACAAAAACATGCAGAGGAGCAGAGAAAAATCATGATCGACGCATTCTGGGTTGTCGTTAATGAGTCCAAGGAGCCACAAAGACAATCAGACTCCAGGATAGACGATCTGAACGTGATCCTTCGCAGCCTCAACATATCTCACGACACGCCAGCCCCCTCGACCCCTTGTACGCCGACCACGTCACCTCACATGTGGGTAGATGGTTCCTCAGACGCCCATACTCCACCATCAACGCCTATTCGGCCAACAACACCACCAAGTCCCAACTCAACACGCACAGCTTACAACAAACAACGCAAGTTTCTCAAGAAGCGGCTCCAAGAAGATGCTAACAAACACAAGTACTACAGTGACTCGCTCCTTGTTTCGCGGTGGGAGGCGAGGGCGTTCGAAGGACCAGAGGGGAGGTTTATTGCTGAACCCCAGATGGTGAGGGCAGGTGGTGGTGGAGGAGGAGGAGGCAACGGGTGGTTTCAATAAGAGTTTGTAGAGGTCGTCAAGGGCCGATGCATTGGGAGTTGAAGGCGTTCACAAATCAGCACATGGTAGACCATGTTTTATTGGCACCTCATACTGAACAGATCTGCAGCCTACATCAGGACAAAACAAGCAGATCAGAAACCTCTAGCGTCAATGTAGGCTTCAGGGTGTCAGAATTTCCCTTGATCAAGGCGCCACAAAGCTCTGGATATCGGTGTGAATGGATGTACCTTTCTTCATTACTCATATACCGGCAGGTCCATTACGCACTGCCATTCATAGCCATGTCTATCCAATCCCACTCATGCGCCGAACGCTATGCATAAATCTCATCGCTGAGCTAAACGCATCAGATCACGTAAAGCGTGTAAAACAGCCCCCAGCATGTGCAAGGTCGCCAGACCCAATCTGCGTACGATCCGATACATCCCCCATCCTGTCCAGTAACATAGCCCCAGTATAATTAGTGGGAACATGATCGGGCTCACTATAAACAAGAGCAGATAAGCTGGCCCCATGCTGAGAATCGCGAACACGGCATGATACCATTGGTTGACGAAGTCCCAGTCAAATTCGTCGGGAATATCGTCTGGATCGAACAGTGCATGGGGATGACGGCCGTCAGTCATCGCGCATACGCTCCGTCGCCTTGCCGATCTAGAGCACCATCAGCAGCGTAAATAACCTAGAAGTCTGGATTAGCTCAGGATATTCGTTTCTAGACTAATACGGACTCCAACGTACCCGTTCATTCATGCTGGTGGATCGACAGGGATCACCACCTGTCGCCACCAGAATCTCCGCTCATGACAGTGTTGAAGAAGTTGGCGTCGCCGCCGTAGTTGCCACCTCCGCCATACCCGCCCATGCGGTTCTTGCCCTGGGTCTTGGCATGTTCGACGATGGAGCTCTTCCGGCCGAGATCCTTCGCTAGAGAGACGGAGTTTGTAATGGATGATAGCAGGTTGACTAGTTGCACATCCGATGCTTCTTGCTGGGACTCGAGCGAGAAAGCGGCTGAGTCTGGCGGACCGAGGATATTCAGGCGGGCGAGCATGGCGGATACACTGCGGAGAATGGAGTGGTCTAGAGGTAGGGGATGTTGCGCGTCTGGCGCGGCGTTGACTGGTAGGGACGGGTCGGAAAGGTACGATGCTGGGAGCGAGTCGATGTATGCGCGCAGGAGCATGATTCGTCGGCTGAGCATGCGAATGGCGTTCATCTTGGCTGTAAGCGAAGAGAGAACTGGACGAAGGTTAGTATGTCTGTACCAAGTAAAGCTTTTGGCGGCTGAACCTACCTTCTTCGTCGTCTGCATTCAAGATAACCGACTCGTCGATGGGCGCATCCTTTTCTTTCTCCTTCTCCTTCTCCTTTTGCTTTCCTCGTGTATTCCGCTTCCCAGTAACCTCATCGGTTCTTGAGGGCTCTGGCGCTGCACCGGCCACATTTGCTGTGCCTTCCACTGCAGTAGCGTTGCCACCACCCCGCGCGACGAAATCGACAGAGATCATTTCCGCTTCGCCAGTCTCAATCGAGTAGACTAGCTCTCTGAACTTGGTTGACTTCGCCTGTACAGCCCCGTCGATATCCATAGCCTTATCATTCGGATCGCTCGTTGTGTTGACGGACAAGGACTCGTAGACGGTGAGAGGCAGCTTTCCGGCAGCGGTTTCTTTGGAGAAAGCATTTTCTGGGTGGAAGAGTACGAGTAGCGGAGACTCGGTGTAGACTTCGGATATGCGCGAATGGATAGGCAGGATGTGGGGTTCTGGACCGGAGGCGGGACCGAGGGTAAACCAGCCTACAATGTCTAATTGTGGCTCCTTGTGTACGTCCTTGACTACACTCCGGTTAGCTTCATTCAGATGTCGAGATATAAGGTATAGACGGGAACTTACAGTCTTCGATACGCTTGCTGAACCACTCGTCGTCTAGTACTGTCTCTCCGTCTTGGTTTGGCAGGAGCTTTGCTTGGAAAGCAAGCTCCATCGTGATATTCTGACCATCTTGCGCGCCTAGTATAGCTCCGACTACTGGTCCTGTCTGCTGTCGTAATGTGTGCCGTGTTACGCAGTCTGTTATTGTGAGGAGTACCAGCGGGTGAAGTTGTACTGTTGGACTTGCGTCAGAGGCGCGGGTGGTCGAAACGAGTGGATTTCCTGATGATTCGGCCATGTTTGCTGCAGTGTAGTTCGGTGTCGCGTCCGGGAGATTCACGATGGTCGAGATCGTGGTAGGAGGTCGGAGTGGTAGTCGAGCAGCAAGGCAATTGCAATGATATGGTCTTGGTGGGGAGCTTGCTTAGGCTGCAGCTGCCACAATTCGTGGGGTTGTGCCAAGGCGCTACCCGTTCGGCGCTAGTGTCAACGCGACTGCAGCGCGACGCGCTTTCCTTGGGAATGATTCATCATCCTCCAGGTTTCACTACACTCCTCTTTCTCAGACTTCAGAATCAAGGATCACGAACCGGAGCGAGTATTTATCATCGGAGTACGATTATGGCATTATCATTCATGGTCGGACCTAGCCTCCAGATCTTTGCGTCAATCGCCAAATACACCCCATAACTCCAAATCCAACCCAACCCAAAAGCGAATGGTATCTTAGTCTTGCTCCAGACTTTCAAAACGCCTGACCGCGGTCGCCGCCCTTCGGACGATCTCTCTATGTCGTTTCTATCATGTCTTTATGAATGCCACACAATTCAAAGTACATATTAGTGGTTTCCTGGGCCGTTCGCTTCTTTACATCTCGACGAGGACTTTCAGAACAAGCTTGCCGTCTTTGTCGACAGTCTTGCCCGCGAGCTCGAAAGCTTCCTTTGTCGACGTCAATCCATGGAACCTGTGAGTGATCATGTTGTCAAGACTCGGAAGTACACCGGCAGACAAGATCTTGATACCAGTGGGGTAGGTGTTGGCGTAGCGGAAGATGCCAATGATGTCGACCTCTTTCAGATGAGATGCTGACATGGGTAGTGTCTGAACTGGCGTACCCATTCCGACCATGATGAGCTTGCCGCCCGGCCTTGTCGCCTATGAGAAATTAGGACCAGATTTGCGATTCTTTCCCAAAGAGACTTACATATAGTCCAGCTTGCATGCAGATTTCCTTTCCGGTACAGTCAAAGGTGACATCAGCACCTTCAAAGTCTGGTTCGTTCTGGGATGCAATTTGCATAACATCGGCAGCCAACTCCTTGGCTACGGCGAACTTCTCAGCGGTCTCGTTACCATGCTTTTGTGGGGTCACGATGTAGCCCTTGTGGGCGAAGCCGTTCGCCAAGGCGTAGTTGATTCGCCCATAGTCGATGTCTGCGATGACAACGGTTGTGGCGCCAGACACCTTGGCCATCGCAGCTGTCAGAAGGCCGACTGTGCCTGCGCCAAAAACAATGGCCGTGTCACCCTGCTCGATCTGGGCTCTTCTTGTTGCATGGATCGCAACAGAAAGAGGCTCCAGAAGCGCAGCCGATTCCATGGAGACATGCGAAGGTAGTCTGATTTAAGTTGTCAGCTAAGTTCGGCTTCGGGTCGATCATGCACGACATACTTGTGGCACCATTTCGCGGGATGGTTGATGCGTTCCTGAAGCGTCCCCTGGAAGTGAGGCACAGATTTGGCGCTACTCCGAAACCTCATCTTCGGGCAGAGATTGTAGCGTCCCCGTTGGCATGACCTGCAGTTGTCGCACGGCACACCTACCTCCAGAGCAACACGATCGCCAATCTGGTAGCCGGTAACGCTCTCGCCGATGGCGACCACAACCCCAGCAGACTCATGGCCTAGTGACAACGGCTCGCAAGCCTGCAGATCACCGTTGCAGAACTTGCTGTAGTAGGAACAATCGCTTCCGCACAGTCCAGTGGCCTTGATAGCGATCTGTAGTTCATTGGCGGCGGGATCCGTAATGGTACGAGTTTCCTAATTGGATTCGTTAGCTTCACGTTTAGATGCTCAATATACACCAAAACCCCCACGAGTAGTGGGTAGACGTGGGATGTGTAACGAAATTGGAAGGCATACGAGCCGCAAATCCCTTGGCCCATGTAAGACCGAAGCTACGACAGTCGAGGACTTGGAGTAGTGCCTCGTTGGGATTGGATAGATATCTGCGAGAGCTGAGGGAGCCATTACGAGAAAATTTTGGTAGTATGGGGGATGGTGGCAATGGAGCGGGAAGAAGTGAGGAAGAGATAGCTAACAGAAGCCCACCCCACGGGAGCGTGGAGGCTGATATAGTTGTTGAGAAGGCCCATTTCGATCAACGGTGGCCTGGCACAAGCTGGGCTTGCCTCAGGTTGGTGCATCGGCGAGATAATGGCATCGCATGAGGGAAGATTCAAAGGTTCCACGTCATTTGCTAGGCGTATCAAACTGGCGGGACGAGCATGGATAGGGATGCGCGACCAGAGCTACTTGGTACGGTAGGCCTCGCGTAGTCTTTTCTTTATCCCGTTACTCTGTGTGTATATATGAGGCTAGATCTTCTTGTGGGTACACGACCGGGAGCTCTTGTTATTCGCCCAGCGAGCTAGTATTTGGGGACTCAAGCATTGTTAGACTCGTTTTGCCGGATCAACACCGTATAGCTCCGGGACGTGCACACGCAAGATGCGATATAGGAGCAATGTCATAATGCAGTGTGTATCTTGAACACGTCTTGTCTTGTGTAGTGACCGTCTATCAGAAACCCGCCGGCGTTGTGAAACAGCGATAAGGCACACTGCACGGCTGTGGAGCCCGCTGCCAAAGGTTGTGTTGGGATTTACGGCAGCGAACCTGTCGGTTGTAGTGGCCCTGCAGAACCACAGATCCCTGAGCAGGACGCGCGAAACATCAGCCTGATATGCAGGCTGTCCTGTCTCGGCGTTAGCATGTCGTTACCGCTAAGCCAAAGCTCAAACCATAAGTCGTCCTCTGCCCCCGGTGCATCATCAATCTTGGATTCTTAGGGCCTGCATACCGACGGGAAAATTCGACCGCTGACTGGCTAGCGTATCTGGCTGATATTCCAGAAGACTTCCCGAAGTCACTTTTGCAATATAAAATCCCGGATATATTGCCCATGTGCAAACGGCTCACGCCCAACGGTGCGCCTCCAGCCTGGACTACTCTGGGGAGCATGGAATCAGTCCCGTAGTGCGGCCCCTTAGCGGGATCCTCCTGGGGCAACTGTGGTGTGTGTGGTAGCAGACCCGTTGGCTGAATGTCGGTTGGAGGGTGGGCATGGGTCATGGTTTGGCTACCGAGCAGCCCATTGACGAAATTCGTCCTACGCGCGACCGAAGTGCCGGGACAAGAAAGTACAAGGGCCTCTTATCGGAGCGACCTCAACGCCAACTGCACGAACGACTGGCCCAAGGGATAGCTAATAGTCAACAGCTGCACCTTTGACCGAGGTGTGGCCACCAAGAAGCCATGGAAATTGACATGTGCCAGCATCTGCATGACAATGGCGAAGAAGCACCGGTAGCGCGCTGCAATGCCGTCCCAGATCTACCATCTCGACCGAGAAATGAGGTCGAGTGTCGGTCGTGAAGGATTCGGAGGAACAACGGTGATCGCGGGTACATGGCAGGCCCAGCACTTGACAGGGAAGCGGCCACGAGCAAGATGAGATGTCGTTACTAAGCCGACCCGCAACAAGCGTTTACGTATCTCTCCGACCGCCCGACCTGCTCTCCCATTCGACAACCACTGTCGTCTGGCACGCTGCCGAGCAGACTGCAGCAGCGGGACGGCAAAACAAACGTTGACGGCCACTCGATCTCTGTTCCATCAAACGTTGCACGGCAGAGCACCATGGTGGATCCGAGCATGCCCAGCAGTGTTGAGATTAACTTCTTTGCACACCAGGATGCGCCCAGGACTCGACTAACGAGTATACCTAATGTACCTATCCAGCCAGTGCGCTCCCAGCTCCGGCGCGACGAGCTACGAGATGCAATAGAATAATGGCCTTACTGATAAGCAAGGTACTTCTCGTTCGCACTGCGCATGCGTCTACCTCAACGCCCCAGGTATATTCAACGCTACTATAGACCCTGTCCGTGAACGTAAAAGAACACCGGGATGTCGCTCCACCAAGCGACCGACTCCACGACCCTCATGCATGGCCCTCTGAAAGCAGTAGGCGGTGAGCGAAGACCATCATACCCAGTTTGAGAGTTTCCTGTAACCCTTTGTCAACCTGAGCACGTTTTCGCGATCTACGTCGAATATATCTCAAGCGCTTGCACGACGGTGCCGCGGCGGTGAGCAATTTCACCTTACTCGCTTCCCTTCAAAGCTGCCTACGCCACAGTATCCAACCACCATGACCCCGGGCTTAAGGATACGTATTCCTCAGACAGGCGGTCTGTCGGATGTAGAGGTACCGTTTCCCCTATCGCACCACCCCGCCCACAACAGGCTGCGGAGTGTGCGGAAGCCCCTCTCCGTATCGACATCGTGTCGCAAAAAAAGCATTGCATGTCGCAACCTACTCAAGACCACGAGGTTGCCACAATGCACAACGCCGCTTCCTGACTGGCTACATTACGCAGTGGGTACCAGAACTCCGGATTGCGCACGGACGGAGGGGACCTGCATCCGCCATAATCTCCAAACAGTTTACCTGGAAAATCTCGAGCATTCTGTCACCAAAGTACCCTCTTGCCCATGAAGTTCGCGTGGAAGAATGTCATAAAGCGCTAATCCGCAGACTTGAGTCAAGGCGGGACAAGAATCCAGAGGAACAACCCGGTGCCAAAATTCCAAGGCGGCGTATCTACTACTACTTTTGCCGGTACTTTTATGGTTAGAACCTCCGGAGATACCGAGATACCACCACACATCTCACGCTTCACTTTTGAGCTACAGGTACTTGACAATTGCCGTTGATCGTAAGCGAAGCAGAACTATGTGAAATGAAGAGGAAGAGCTGAGTCGGTGGTGTGCTGATGGCCAGCAGGTACCTGTGTATCAGGCAAGAGATGCAGATCATGTGTCCACACAACGTGCCGCCGCGGCATCCTTTGTAGTCGATGATGAGTATCGGCGTCAAGACGTGTCTCAACGAGACGACGTATCTGTACGCTTACGCACACATGCGTTTACCGATCAAGTGCCGTCTCTAGCAGCCGTCGAGTTTGTATCAAGGTCCGCTATCATGGACAAGCTATAGTCAAGACTCAACGGTCAGCTTTGACTCCACATCGGAAAAGTGCAAAGGATTCCGCGTGCTTGTCTAGCGCAATGCGATATCGCTGCGTGGACAAGGAAGCCATGAGGCACATGTCAGGCCACCAGCACGGATAGAGCCGCAATCTCCATCGCCTGTCAGTTCGTACCCGGTAAACTATGATATGCCGTTCTCGGTCGACGGGCAGGACAAAGTAATCAGGCATGCATACACCGCTCGCTGGGCAGCATGGTGAGATTTTGAGTACTCCAAGCTAGACGAACTTGCTCAAGAGACGGGTCAATGATTATCCCAAGACCTTCAACATTCCGTCTCTCTAAACCCCTTCCTACAGACTACTCTCCCGCTTCTTCTTCCCCACCAACCCCTCCGCCTCAAGCCATTGGCGGATAATAGCATTCGTCTCCTCTGGCTTCTGGATCAACGCCCAATGCGCAGCCGCCACTTCTCCCTTCGTAAGCTTAGGAATGAAATTATCCATGCTCTTTGCCATTGCGGGCTTTAGCACGCCGTCATGCGTGGCTTGGATAAAGAGGACAGGTTGATTGATTATCTTCTTGTCGAGCAGCGCTTGGTCTTCTTCCCAGTTCGTGCGGCGTTGGCGATACCAGTTTACTGGGTTGAGGGGTTAGTGGTCGAGCTTGGAGTGGTGTGTAGATATGGTGGATGAGTGATAGGATGGGGAGAGAGGACTCACATGTGGGGTGGATCCCGTGGTTGAGATACTGCTTGACGTAGTAGTCTAGGTACTGATTCGCTGTTAGTACACCATCGCTTGTTGGCAAATCCTTCAGCTGTCTTTCTGAAACAAGATGATGCAATGGATCGATCTCGACATGTGCTTCGCGCGGGACGATCTTGCTGTCGAGCCGAGTCGATCTTCTGGCACCCTTTCCCGCCTCATGCATGACATGTCTGAAGTGGCAATGCCTCTGTCGAGCGACGTAACCACCCCATAGCATCCCCTCAAAAGGTAACACGTTGGTCTCTCACGGCAATCATGTACTCTTCTTTCCCTTCGATCCCGCACTCGACACGCGTTCCAGCATAAGAGATCATCACGTACCTTTCCATTCAGAATCTTGCTCTCACCGATCTTTGGCAAGTTTTCGACCAGTATCCCCTTCTCGGGAACGAACGTGACCTCGCCGCTTGGTCCCTTGGCCCCATACATGCCACTCAGAAATTGCCTGATCGACTGCTCATCGTTGACGCTCTTTTCCACTTCGCCCGAAGCGAGATGAATCTGGTAGGCGAATTGGGGTAATGGGCCTTTGACCAGATCTTCGGTGGAGAAGTACTTGTCGGAAGGGGCGGTGTATGGTGTGCAAACTGAGAAGACGTGTGTGATGAGCTTGGGGTACC